ATAGAGAGCGAGATAGAGAGCGATGAAGATAGAGAGCGATGAAGACAGAGAGCGAGATAGAGCGCGATGAAGATAGAGAGTGATGAAGATAGAGAGCGAAATAGAGCGCGATGAAGATAGAGAGCGAAATAGAGCGCGATGAAGATAGAGAGCGAAATAGAGCGCGATGAAGATAGAGAGCGAAATAGAGCGCGATGAAGATAGAGAGCGATGAAGATAGAGAGCGATGAAGATAGAGAGTGAGATAGAGCGCAAGATACAGCGCGTAATACAGCGCGATGAAGATAGAGAGTGATAGAGAGTGATGAAGATAGAGAGCGAGATAGAGAGAGAAAGACAGACACAGAGAGACAGAGAGAGAGAGAGAGAGAGGGAGAGATAGAGAAAGGCTGAAGCGGGGTAATACTTTAAGGAACAGGTGATTGGAACTGAAGATGGAAACCAGCCCGGAATAGCTCTACACTCCAGCTTGGTGCTGGATTAGTGAACGGAAATGGCAGTGGGGAGCAGGGCCCGAGAATGATTCGAATCCGATCCATCAGACAGCTCCCTCCCTCTCCCAGTCCCCTCAGCCCAGTGATTGGACGGCGTTCTGTGCCTGACCCCGACCCTGGGATGAAAGGAGGAACAGATGGCGTCACGGTGAAACAAGGCGATGGGTTTCTCCCCTTGGTAACAGACGGTGGCAGATGTGGGGACCTTGAGGGGTTAGGAGGACGACTAGAGATAACCAGGAGGATGCGGGATGTGTTAACGAGAAAACGCAACCATTTAACCAAAACAAAACCTAAATTCTACCCACTGTCCTGTGTAACCTCCAGGATCTAGAATTTAAAAATCTCTGGAAGAACAGCGTGGCACCCAAGCCCTGCACGCTCCCCTCCGAGCCATTCCCCATCCTGACTTGGAGATATATCAATGTCGCTGGGTCGAAGTCCTGGAACGCCTCCCCTAACGGCTCTGTGTGAGGGTCCGTGCACCACACGGGATTGCAGAGGTTCAAGCAGGCAGCTCACTGTCACCTTCTCAAGGGGGTAACTGGGGACGGTCAATAAATGCTGGGCAGTGGGAGGATTTTGTTTTTTGAAAAAACCCTTGGAGTGTTGCTGAAAGGAGAGACCAAATGCAAATCGGATCAGGACGGGCTAGCAAGAGAGTCAAAGCCTGAAGGGAGCAACAGTTTCCGCTGAGGACAGTCTACGATTTGTGGAAACAAGGGGAGGGTGGATGGGACAAAAGGTACAGATCAGCCAGGGATGTAGCCAGATTGCTGAGTGTTGGCCAAAGCCAAAGCGCCTCACCTGAAATCTTGATCTTCTTCACGGTTTTTGTGGAATTGTTGGTCACATGAACATTGACGCTGATGGGTTCCGCGTGGTAATAGAGCTGTAAGCACAAGGAACACGGGATGTCAGAGGAACATGACCCCTGCATGTACTCCACGCCAATGGCCCAGGAGCCCTCACCCTCACCCCCAACCCCCCACCCACTCCGCCCCGCAGCAAGGCTGGGCGACTGTTCTGTCATTTGTTTAGCCCTGGTCTTTTTCGACAAGAGGTTGTAAGGTAAAAGGTGAGGTTGGAACAATAGAAGCAGCCCGAACGGGTGGGGCCAGCACCAACAGATCGGGATTTCTGACTAGCAGCAGAAGCTGCCTCAGAGCTGGAAGCTTCAGTGAATCTCTACTCATATTCCCCCTCTCCCTACCCCCTCACTCCCTCTCTCATCCTCACCCTTCTCATTCCCTCACTCCCTCCACTGCCTCCTCTCTCACTCCCTCTACCCTCCCCACACTCTCTCTACACTCTACTCTCTCCCTCCCCTCTGTTTCTCCTTCTATACCCTCCTCACTCCCTCTACCCACCACACTCTCTCCAACTCTCCATCCTTCACTCCCACTCTCTCCCCTTCATTCCTGTTCTCCCGCCCTCACTCCCCCACACCCTTTCTTGCCTTTCCACTCTCTCCTGCTCTTTCAAAACTCCCCCACCACCACAGTCTCTCCCGCTCTCTCCGTCTCTCTCCCTACCTCTCACCCTCGCCCCTCTTCCTCCCTCGCTCACTTTTTTACTTTGTTCGTCGAGAAGGTTCCCTGGGGCTGCTGAGCGGGAAGCGGGAGTTCTAGTTAGACGGTGAGGCTTCCTCTTCAAACTCAAAAAAGGGGCAGATTGTTTCTTTCTTCTGGTCTGGAGAGGGACGGCATGTGAGAATCACAACTGCTTTGCCGAACCGCACTGTGGCTAAATGTGGGATGTTGCCTTTATATTGGAACAGTTGATGATTAAATGGTACATTATCTTGTGAACTATTTCAATCCAGCTAAAAAGTTATGCCAATTCTTATTTTTGCACTTTACCTATGTTGTAAGAATGAAGTGTGTTTTGATTACAGCTTAGTGGTGGATCAATCGAATCACATCTGGAACACAGCACCTTCCACTTGCCTTTACACAAACATAAAAGTTAGGGTCTAGGCTCTCTCTCTCTGGACGGTCAGGTCAGACTAAACCTATCACAGAGTGAGGGCTGTGGGGTTGAACCAGGTTGAATTTAAATCCCTTGGCGGAGAGGGGACTGCAGAATACCTTCCAGTCCCGGTGGTAATAACCAGCGATTGGTAAAGATTCTCTCTGTACTGACCTCTTTATCTAACGAGGCTTCGAGATGGAGGGACCTGTCTGACATCAAGAAACTCCTCGTGGTCTCCGCCATTGGCTGTGGCCCTGGTTTCTCTGGAGCGTACTGTACTTTCCGGATGACCAGACGGACAGAGTTCCTGCGGTAAAACAGAAGGAAATGGAGTGTCCGAGATGGAAGGGTTTCGAGTCAAATCGGGGAGTCGAGGGTGGGAGGCAGTCGAGGAGAATGGAGGGGAATTGGCAGGAAGGAGAGTGGAGGGGAAATCGAGGAGAGTGGAAGGGAATTGGCAGAAGAGTGGACAGCAGAATTAATCAGGTCAGCCACACAGTCATATTGAAGGTTGCAGTGGACTCAATGGGCTGAATGGCCTACTTCTGTTCCAATGTGGTTGGAACACACACACACACACCCCTTGGCATCTACTCCCTTACTCTTGGTACAATCCCTCAGCACATAGATCTCTCTCTCTCTCTCACACACACACAAACACTCACGCTCACACCCACCCACACACTCTCACCCACCCACACCCACACACACACACACAAACACACACCCCTTGGCATCTACTCCCTCACCCTTGCTACAACACCCCGACACACAGACCTCTCTCTCTCTCTCTCTCTCACACACACACACACACACACACACACACACACACACACATATATATATATCTTGTGGCTGACCCCAAACTGACTCCTCTCCAGGTCAACCCCTGTCCCCCTACCATGCCGCTAACCACCCCCCCCCCCTCCCCCGGCTCCCCTGAAGACACCCCTCCTCCTGACACACTTGTTACAGACAGTGCTGTCCTTCCCCGGGAAGGGAAGTGACCACGTTCAGCCCAGTGAATAAGGGATAATGTGTTGTGTGTGACTGATAAATACATTCCCCTGTTCAACGCCCAGCCATTGCCCCCACCTGGGGGCACCGGACAGAGGCTGAAGACGTGGAACTAAAGCAGCATCCCCCGAGGCTGGCTCTCACGGCGTGGCGGCAGTAGAGACCCTACCTCTGAAGCAGGAGTCCCACCCAGTCCCACCTACAACACCCCTGAGCTGGTGGATTCGAATCATTTGTCGCGGGCTGAAGATTATGCCCTGGAAAATCTGCAGGTTGGGATGCAAATAGGGCTCTTCGTCAAATCCAGCCCGCTGTGCGGGTCTCCGGAACTCGGGAATTTTGGGAAGGGAGGGTTATGTGAATGTTGGGAATGCTTGATTTATGAATAAGGAACAGCAGCAGCAGGGGGTGGTGGGATTTGCTGAAACATTTACGATTCTTGGGTCACTGCCAGACAAAAAATCTCAATCCTCGCCACACGGGGTCACCTCAGGACAGAGGATTAATCTGACTGGGGTTTTGATGGAGAATCTGAACAGGACAGGGAGGGCTGGAAAGGCAAAGATTTCAAAACACCACACGCACCGAAACAGACATGTTTTATGTCATTAAAAGGTTTGATTGATCGTGCAGAACTTCATAAAGAAAACGCATTTTTATATTTAAAAGAAAAATTGGCCTCAACCAGTGTGTAAAATAAATTATTTCTTCTCTCCGACACAGTGGCTCAGTGACTCTCAGCACCAGGGACCCAGGTTCGATCCCACCCTCAAGTGACTGTCTGTGGGGAGTATGTACGTTCTCCCTGTGTCTGCGTGGGTTTCCTCCCACAGTCCAAAGATGTGCAGGTTAGGGTGGATTGGCC